TGTGTGTGTGTGTGTGTGTGTGTGTGTGTGTGTGTGTGTGGTTTTTTGATATATATAGGCTGAGCAAGGCATGGTTGAAGATGCTCCTTCAGAGCTCCTTCTGTACTGGATGTAGCCAGACTATGCGTTCAGGAGCTAAAACTTGCTTAACTGTATTTGAAAAAACAAAATACCTGAAAGGAAGAATGACTATGTAAATGTACAAGTGGTCTGCATGCTCTGCATCTTATTCCTTGTGTTGTTATGTTACTGCTGTGACAGAATGCACCTCTATACACTATTGTCATAATCTTTGTACAGAATATATCTTGTAAGGTATCATTTGAAAACTAATAACTCATTGGTCAATAATATGATGGTAAAACATGTAACAACATTATATGTGAACTTATAAGCATAAGATGAAATCATGTCTGAAGTGCATTTACCAGACAAGTCTAGGGAGTGGGTAAACCTGTTTCTCAAAGTCAAAGGACAAGTTGACATCTTGCCAGGTGTCATCAAAGCTGATGGGCCATCAGCTATCAAGTGACTTTCTTTGGCAAGGAAAAGAGGCAGGAATAAACAGATCTGCATCTTAATAAACAACTTAGCACACCCCCCCCCCACCAGACACCATGTCTCCTTACTTTCAACTGAAAAAAACTTTGAGGGGGTCTGAGCTATCAAAGTGAGGGGCAATCAAGTTATCTCTCTCTCTCTCTCTGTCCATCTCCCTCCTTGCACCTAAGAAGATCAAAGAAATAGCCATTGTACTTTGGGGGAGGAGTCTGGACCTGAAGATTTTGATTAGCAATGCTGTTAGATGGATGTGATAAGGACTTTAATTTGAATCAAGTATAGTTTGTTAAGTTAGGCACTAGGAAGCATTTTATCTTCATTTTTCTTGTAACCATTTCTAACTTTTATGCTTCGTTTCTTGTACTTACTTCAAACCTATCTCTTTGTAGTTACATAAACTTGTTTGATGCTTTAATTGAAACTAATCCTGTGCATTTAAATTAAATTGTCTGGGTAACTCCATTTAAGGTGGCAAGTTATGTATTGCTCCCTTAAAGGGACAATGGACCTAATATCTCTGGCTATCCAAGAGAGGGCTGGACAGTACAGAACATACATTGTTTGGGGAAAATCCAGGACTGGAAGCATGTTGAGGTCACCCTTCAGAAGTAACCAAGGCTGGTAAAAGCCAGAGGGTAAGCCACGTGCTGCTGGCAGGCTGCAGTTACACATAGTCACTGAGTAGCACCTGCATGCTGGTGGCTTTTGTGAGCCATCCAGGTTGGGAGCTCCAGCAGCAAGGCATTGCAGGGCATGCCAGATTACAGGGCCGGTGATGACACCGCCCCTCACTGGTATGGCTTGCACCCCGGCATGTCACACTTGCTTTTGGGGTTGTCCCTGAATTCAGCTAAGTTTTCTTGTGTCAATTCTTACTCAGCTCAAAAGGTTTGGCAGGGGCACAAGAAAATGTATAACAGTTCACTTGATCTGCCACCAGTTCACAACTATGACCATGTAGTTTAACACTGGTCTTAACCTATAGCTTTGCTGACTGGTTGTCTGGCCAATAGATTAAGGGTTCCAGCTAACTCCCATTCAAGACGGTAGGATAAATCCTTTAGACATGAAATAGTATGATCGGGGTCTATCTGACCAACTGCTTAAACCACTGTCGTTTTTAAATGAGCTTTCTCCCTATCTTCCTACACCATCACTTTTTGATGCCCCCATTAATTAATTCTAAACATCTCCCCAGATGAGGTGATGTAATATATCTAGTGTCCTTCCAACACAAGTATTATCAGGGGTGCTGGAATGAAGGGGGGCAGAGGGCCAGGGCCCCATCGCTTTTACTGGCCATAAGTGTGAGCGATGGGTGGGACGGGGTGGAGAGGAGTGAGTGGGAAGTGGTGTCTTGGGGAGAAGGGGCAGCATGGGGGGCAGGGCCACTACTCAGGCACTGATGGCCTCCCCCCACTTTTAGGAAGCTTTCACCGCTCCTGAGTTTTATTGTACGCCATAGTGATATCTTCCACATGATATCAGAGCTAAGCTTGTTTACCAATCTAGACCTAGTTATTTGAAGGGAGTATAAAATCAGTAACATCAATATATATCTAATGTATAGTTGTGCCCCTTCAGATTAGCTAGAAATGAAACTCATTCTGATTTGTGACCAGAAGGGCAAAAAGCTTAAGAGGTTCCAGGATAATTGTGTTGTAACATCTCCAATTGGCTGGTTGTAGAATGATTCGGGAGGATTGTTATGCTGATCCTGAGAAATGCTGCACACGCTTAGCTTGGCCCTCGAAAATCAGGCCACAAGTCCCTTTAAAGATCATGTAGTTATCAGGCAGTCCATGCTGCAATGCAGACCTGCATAAATAGAGCTAAGGATGAATGAAGTGCTATTATCCCCTTGTTATGTAAGGGGATCTGAGGCACAGAGAGATTAAGGCTCACATCCTCAAAGGGGTGCTTAACTCCCATTCAATTCAATGGAAGTTAGGTGCTTACCTTTGAGAATCTGGGCCTAAGTGACTTGCCCAAATTCACAGGAAGTCTGTGGGAGAGCAGGCAATTGAATCCAATACCAAGGCTACGCCCTAACCACTGGGCTATCCTTCCTTCCCAACTTACTATGCAGTTGTACAAAAAGGTATAGGGATTGTTTTTAAAGGGTGCCTGTGGTCTACACTCCAGTAAAATAACCCGCAGTACAAAGTCATGTAGACATTTTTGCCATGTATACATTTGGGTTCGGTTTCTGAGATCTACTTCCATTGCGGGGTTTCAGACCTGGGCTCCAGCCCAAGCCTGAATGCTGCAGTTTTTAACCCCATAGCCTGAGCTCCGAGAGTCCAAATCAGCTGACCCAGGCCCTCTGCAGCTATGCTGGTCTTTATTGCAGTGTGGACATACCTTAAAAGACCAAGTGCTGAATTGCCCAGTACTTTCAGGTGAACACTGAGGCACCGTGATGGAGTGATGAAGTTAAGCTTTGATCAGCCACTGTCTTCATTTCACTTTAGTTATAAACAAAGTTGTCGATGTTTCCAGTGCACTCTGCATGGCATTTTACACAGTGCTGAAATTCATTCTTACCTGTCATAAGTTCATTTACAAATAGGTTCTGGTCTGTAACTTTTTAGTAACATCAAATAGAAAACATTTCCTGTAGGGTGAGGCCATCATGAAAATGGAATTAACTTGATTGTGTTCAAAGGGGGGAAAACACAACATCGTAGGACGCTTTCCTCTGAATGTTTGGGTACACGTTTTGATATAAAAATAAATTGGCCTCCATTTAAAATGATCCTCCTTGTGTGGGGAACATTTTCTGGATTCTGATTACCATCTTTTTGTTTTGTTACAAAACCCTCACCACTTTGTAACCAATACTGTTTAGACTATAAGCTTTTCAATGTAGGGGCTCTCATGTATTTGTATAGTGTCCTGCACAGTCATGGTCTGGGGCCTCATGGCACTACTGTGCTATAAATAATAACAAATAGGAAGTAATTTAAAAATAGAGGAACAAAGTTTGATATCTTTCAAGCAAAGTAGCTGGCTCACAGAGAGAACACAAGGTAACTAATATACCTAGTACCTAGGACCTAACAGAAAGACAGCTGTGGTTAGTTCAACTTCATAAGATAACAAGTTCCTCAAATAGCAAAGGCAAGTATTGCTAAGGAAAAGTGTTTTCAGTTTTATAAATGTGTATCCAAAACACTGCGACAGTTATTTTTTTGTAAGTTTATTTCACAATATCTGTTCCAAGACTCCTTAGACATCTGTTAATAGCCCCTTTGGCTTTCTGACTTGCAATGCCCAGTTTTACGTGATTAGCCTGAGCATGTTTTTATTCATTTTTAGTTTTCCACATGCCAATTTATAATTAAGAACTGTTTATAATTAAGAAGTGTGTTGGATAATAAAAAGTTGCATCTGTGTGCTTAGTACTAATGACTACTAAAAATGGATCAGGAATTGCTTTCTGAAGAACTGCTTTCCCCATATATTTTTTTTCCTTCCGTGGCAGGCTGATGAATTCTGAGAACACACTTTTACAAGCCAGGGAAGAGGAGGGAGTCAAGTATGAACGGACTGTCATGGCATCTGAGTTGATTGAGTGGCTGATCCAGGAAAGAGAAGTCACAACAAGGACTGAGGCAGAACAACTTGGCCGTAGACTGTTGGAGCATGGAATTATACAGCACGGTGAGGAATGTACTGCCTGGTAACAAAAGCTACACTCTTTACAACACTTTTTCCATGCAGGATCATGTAAAGAGGTTGCAGATCATGCTGTTTGGTCCTAAAACATTTCCAATTCTAACTCCTATCTAAATGATGGCTGTGTAATTATTTTTAAGAAAGGGTGGAATTTTCAAAAGCACTCAAAACCACTAGAATTTGGGTTTGAGTTGCTAGTAACAAATAAGCAATGAATAAAAGGCAACCTTTTTTTTTTTTGGTGGTGGTGGATAATTAAACAGTGGAAGTCATTGCCCTGGGATATAATTGAGGTAAATAGCTTAGTAAGAGTCAAAGGATTAGAGCCATAAATAAGGAGAGTTACACTAAATTACACTAGCTAGAATAAAAATTACAAGCTTTATAAATCCTCATGCTTCAGGACATGAGCAGATCATAATCTGATATCAGAAAAGAATGTCCCCATCCCTATCATATTGCATAATTGGCCAGATATGTTTGGAAAAGGATGGGGAAATCACTTTCACCTGAAACATTATTACAGTTAGTCCTGCACTGTAAAGTCTTTGAAAGAGGGTTTTAGTATCTGTTCAGTGCTCAGCACAATGGGGCCTCTTGGTGCTACTGGCACAACATAACTTGCTACAATAAAGGTAAAGCTCACTTGTGCAGGTGACAGAGCTTTCTTGGGGGCAGCCCAAGACTGTGGAATGAACTCCCCCAGGAACTAAGGACCCTCACAAACCTCACCACCTTTTGCTCTAAGTGCAAGGTGAATCTCTTTGACCTTACTTTCTCTAACATAAACGTATACCAACACGTGTGTGTGTGTAAATATTAAAAAAATAAATCTAGACCACTTCACTGTACGTACTTCTCCCCCTGGAGAGGGGATGAGAGAACAGACACGTGACATGTGTTAGTCATATTGCTTAATGCACTACTGGAAGGCGCTCAGATGCTACAATGATGAGCGCAGCATAAGACCTATATAGATTAGAATACAGTACAGATTTAACAATAGGTAGCTGCATGAAGCAGGGTACCAGATTAGATGGATTGTTTTTCTGTTGTTCTATGACAATACCTATATCCTCAAGGCCAGGTGTTATAAAGTACTTCTACATTTTCTCTGTGACTTTAGTCAAATGTGAAGTTTGTCTTTACCTTGTTATAACAGCAGCTACTTTTGAATGTTTACAAGAAGCAGCTTCAAATTCTATAATTACTCTTGATGCTAATGTATGATTTATAGAGTGCCAACTGCTTAGGACTTAGTGCAAAGTGAAAATATTTCCCCCTCCTCTCTATAGCAATAATTATTTCATTTGTATTTTTACCCCAAGCTTTTTCTATATGTAGATACAGGGCAAGCTGGTTTAAAAAAAAAAATCTGATTCACTGTTGAAATGTGTTCAGAGGAAAGAAAATCAGGATGTGATAGATTTATTGCAAAGCAAGCATTGTTCTCATTAACAGAATCAAAAGAATAACCAAGGGTCGCCCTCGTCAGCCCTGAGTGGGGGCACAAAGATCCTCTCTTGCACTCTTGCAAGGGACTGCTCACGGTATGGCTGGAAGGTGCAGGTCCTGCTCCCACTGAGTGCCCCTGAGGCACTAGTTAGTTGTAAAGGGGGAGAGGTGATGTGAAGGTGTTTCCTTTTCCCACACCACCCAGTACGGAAAAGGGGTAGTTTGCTGGGCCTACTGGTGTACGCTGCCTGGGTAAGCCTAATCAACCAGGATTTCTCCTGGTTGATTCTGGATACAGTGAGTTCCTCCACATCCATCTAGTCTACTCTGTTCTGTTCCTATTCTTACAATTGGTCCATCTGTCTACAATGAGCTAAAGGGTGCCAAGAGCACAATCTACCCTGGAATTAGTAGCACGTCTGTTGATTCAATTTCGAAACCCGTGAACCTTTAAGTGATCACTCAAGGGCAATGAAAATCGATGGCTGAACATGTGTGGTCATCTCATAAACTAGAGCAGAATTGTACCCAATGTAAGTGAAACACTGAGATCCTTATTCACCTTTATTTGACAAAGGTAAATTCCATTAACATCTTAGAGATTTTGCTTGCATGAAGATGGAATAAAAACTGAATCAGGGCCTTGGGACTTAGCACTATATTTGGGAATACTTTGGGCAGACTTTTAAAACAGAAGTTTGTTTTATAAGTGTATTCTGACCTACAGGTTTCACTAAAGCTGTTTGTTTGGATAGGGTTAGAAATTATTTGGTGAAAGATTAACATGAATGGTTACAGATTGAGCTGTAGCAAATGGATGTATCTATAGACTTACTAAGTCGTTGCAGTTTAGTTTTCCTTAAATAGCCGAGCTAGGCTTGAGAGCTTTTCTTTACACAATTTTAGACTCAAACTGCAACAGTGGGTATGTGTATTCTGTTTGTTCCCCCTTACTGAATTCTAGGTCAAATGCACTCCATTTACCAATAAAAACAGTATTTTCCCCCACTGCCAGCATAGTGAGTTCATTCTGGAATCTGAACACCAGACTATGTTCCTTGTGCTTTCTTTGTCATGATCTATAAAGTTTTACTTGACACTAATTGACATCCTTGTTGGCAGTACAAGCAGCAAGGACATGGACTGAATAGGAATGGAGAATGAAATTCCTTCTTTCCCTAAAGGTGATCTCTAGCAAACTATATTGTTGAATATGCATGAAGCAGAATAAAATACACTTTGCTCTTCAATTTTTTTATTATATTACCTCTGCAATCATAAGTATGATAGAACTAGTCTGTATCAAGGTAATTTTCCATCTATAACTAAATAGTGCCGGTTTATTTATTGATACTTGTTCTCATTTCAGTGACTTCAGAAAAATATTTTGCAGCTGAGGCAGTATTTGACTCTTTTTATATGCTGAGCACAATTTCCTGTCATGTTTGTCTTCATTTTAATCAGTCAGCCTCAACCCAGATTTCACACAAGAAGCTATTAACTATGCTTAATTTAAAAAGGAAAACTAGATGTTTAAAAGGAATTATGCAAATGCTGTAGAAAGGTGAAACATTTCGACTTCAGAAGTGTTGTATTATAGCCAGTTGATAGACAACTTGGGGTATATTTTCAAAAGGACCTCGGTCTGACCTCCCTTTGTGCATACTCAACTTTACACACGCTATGATTGAATTTGCAAATGGCCTTGTTAACGTCTACAGGATTTGTACAAGCAAATGTGGTTTCATATGAGTATTCTACTACTTTGTGTATGCAAGTCATGATTCACAAAAATTGCGTGCCCTAATAGAGGTCATAGCCTGAAAATTTGTCCCTTTGTGTACTAGGGCAGCATATCCTGTACATCTCTTAATGCTTGAGTTGCCACTGACAATTACCTGTATTTAGTCTGCCTTTGCAACCACTGATTAAATTCATCAGATGATTGGAGCAAAGATTCTATAAAAGAATGGGAAGCATGTCTGTGCATGCATAAAACTAAAAGAGCACAGGACAGATTTTGCAGTTGTATAAAATTCCACTTCTTAAGATATCTAGACACATTGAATGCTTTAATGTTCAGACATAAGAGTTTTTTTACACACAGGGGATCTGTCATATTTTATCTAGAGTTGGAAGCACTGGGACAGATTATTTGCTGTGACTAAAATTCAGTGCAATGGAGGTGTGAGGAAGCTAGTTACAGCTCTCCGTTTGCCGAGTTCTGCAATAGGTTAGAGTAGTCCCCAGGCTGCTCTAATCCAGGGGTTCACAAACTTTTTTCCCTGAGGCCCCCTGTGCAGCTGCAATAGCCACTGCAGCCCACTATTAACACTTCTTGAGGAAAATTACTAATTTTAATTTTACATTCATATAAACTATAACACTGTAAATAAACAATGTACGTTTCCTTTTCATTTTAATGTAAACAATTGTAATGACAGAAATCCCTAGCAGTAGGCACTCAAAGAAATGCTTCATGATCTTTGTAACCAAACAGTTTTAGTAAAACTACACTTTAAAAAAATGTTGAGAGCAAAATGAGGTGTTTAAAGAGGCAAAACACAATTTTGTATAAAACCGAACAGTAAGCAACACAATGTTAACAAAATTGTTAAAAAACACATTGTGTTATTATTTGATTTTAAAACAAAATAGTTGTCCAACTTTGAACATTATATTGTGTTTTCAGTTTCTTTTTAGTGTAAAATTTGAATTTCTCTGCCAAGTAAAGACCCAACCCTAGTCTCTACTAATTAGAAAAAAAATCAAACATTGTAAATAAAATATAAAATAACTTCTAGACCAGGAGTCTTTTTAATGGGATGGATGTGCCTGCTTCTCCTTGTTCAGTTTTTCCAGCTGGGGACATATGTTAGTGAGGCTCAACCTGATCTTCTACAATTTTCAGCCTTTCAGCCAGCTCAGGGTGCAGGCAGTGGTATCTAGGGGCTGTCTGCAAAGAGGAGGGTAGCTCAGGGTGCAGACAAGAGTGTATCTCAGGATGCAGGCCGGGAGTAGCTAGGAGCTGTGTGCAGAGAGTGGGGTAGCTCAGGGTGCAGGCAGGGGTGTAGCTCAGGGTGTCGGGAGGGGTTGTGTCCGAGGGGGTGCTGCTGCTGCTGCAGGGCCAGGCTGTGCGCTCAGTCCCTAGTTGACTCAGTGGGGCAGCTTCACTCCTTGTGGCTGTGTGTGCGCCGGGCTGGGCCATGCCATCCTACCTGGTCACTGTGACCACCAACACCAGTGGTTCACGGGCACCGAGGACTACACCTACCTGAGCCTGGAGGCTGCGGCGGCCATTACCCAGCTCTGCCAAAACTCCACCCATGATGGCGGAGCACCTGGGACTATGTCATGGCCCACCTTTGGACCGTGGCCTACAGTTTGGGAACCCCTGCTCAAGAGATCTCTAAGGAGGGGGAGGGCTACAACATCAGTTGGCACATCATGGCATGGTTTTTCTGCTGAGGGATGTGGCCAGTCCCCCAAAAGACTGCTTGTAGCACACACTAGCTTGCCACGTGACCTAC